GTTGCAACGTTTATTTTTTTAGGATACGTTTGTTATTTTGATCTGGATAGGTGGTTGGAAACTTCCACATCTCTCTGGTCATGGATCCGGTTGTACTGGGCGTTGCTGAAAAGCACTTTATCGCCCAGGGATTTGCTGATGGATGTCGTGACGATGGACGAGGGTAAGTTCTACCCTTAAAATCTTTGATTACTCACAGAGTCTTCGGCTGGATACTGTTTTTTTACAGTGTTTCTTCATATGGGCTTAGAAGTGTGTTTCACTTGTCGAAAATTCATTTTTAAACCATTCTGCAGATCACAATACAACATTTTTTTTCCTAAAATTGGCTAGAAAATTCTCTGCAGTTTCTGGTGTTAGTCTATTTGGTCCGGTATTTTGACGCTGTTCACCCAAAGCACTTGAAAATACCACAAACACTTTTCCTGCAGTGTAATGATCAGAAAAAGCTGTTCGCGTGAGTCTAGAAATAGAAGAAGTTCTGGTGGTTGAAAGAGTTCATTCGAAGATTCCTCCTCCCTTAGATGGAGGGAAAGTCCTCTCTATCTGGCTCACGATCGTTTTTTCGTCGCCCCTTTCGAGGAACATGCGTTATCTGCGGGACTAGCTCAAGGCGACTCTGGTCGTCTGCGCTCCACGCTTGAGTCTTTCTTTGGGAAGGGATACAGAGGCGCGGCCTCACTAAACTACTACGCTCCTCCAACTATTCTCGCGTCCGCTATATTTATGAGCGGTTTGCGTTATCACAAGAGTTCTGAGTTCTGAGCAAAAGTCTTGACCAGGCGAGGACCGACTCACGTTATATCCGAGAATGGCTCTCTCGTTGACTTTATGTGACCCCCCCCCCTTCGCCTTTACAAGAGTTGAATACCATACTATACGATTTTTTCAGTATTGATGATTTCCGTCCGATGTGGATCGAAAGTCCTGCCCTCAATACGACAAATGGTTCAGCGAGAGTAAAGATTGACACCACAGATATTTTGGTTGGTGATCTAACCACTCGTTCTTTTTTGCGACCACTATCCGATTCATTTCGATGACGGGGGAGGCATTTTGCACTTTCGCTGCTTCACTAGTTCCGGTTCACAAGTCTCCTGCGCTGAAACCTGTCCATTCTTTCTTGTGAAGCGGTGCAAGCTCGAGCCACAAGGGTAAATGGTATCTGTATGGTATTTCATTACTTCACAAGAGTTGACAAGTAATTCTACAAACTTCGACTGGTTCCATATCGTGCATTCTCAAGATTTCAGGTCTCCACTTGGTGCCTTGACACCTACCATTAGGAGTAGCGAATGTGCACAATGCCCCCATCACAGCCAATTTCTTGATAAAATTATCGTATTAATTGCATAGCTATGTCAGTTCATTCCACTATATCCTAGGTAGGTGTGAAATGCGAAGTCATGGAATGTGAAGACACTTCATTGGTTCCAAATCGTTTACAATTCACCGTCGATCCCTCCTGTTTAGCCGCTGCACGTACGGAGGGTAAGGACTTGTAATCTCGCAATTACTAGTTTAAGTTTCCATTGTTGTTTTTGAAATTGTTTCAGTATGAGAGCTGGTATTGAACTCCACAGTTCCGTGCTATCACAAGAATGCTGAGTTATGGGCAAAATTCTGACCCAGGCGAGGCCCACCCGCACATCACGGCTTCCGGGCGGGAGCGCTATCCGTGACGCGAAAAGGGCCGCTGTTACCCACTCGGCTTTTATGCTGTAGACTTACAGCACTCACACTCAT